TTTTCTGTGTGAACGTGTTTTCATTTCTCCAGGGTAGAGAACCAGCAAGTGGAGTTGTAGGGTCATAAGATGGTCATATAAGTATGGTTGACCTTTTGAGGAACTGCCAAACTGTTTTCCAAAGCAGCTGCACCATTTTACATTCCCACCAGGAGGATACAAGATTCCATTTTCTCCATAACCTCACCAATACTTGTTATTATCTGTGTGATTATAGCCCTCTGTTTGGCGGGGGGAGGGAGGAGAAATGGTACCTTACTTGGTTTGAGTTGCATTTTCCTCATGATTAATGATATTGGGCATCATCTTTGTGCACTTTGGTTATTTGTATGTCTTTGAAGAACTCTCTGTTGAAATCTTTGTCCTGTGTTTGACTTGAGTTTCTTTGTTTCTGAATTGTAAGAGTTCTTTATATATTCTGGATGCTAATATCTAATGGATATAGGATTTGTAGTTTTCTTTCCTCTATTTTATGGGGTGTCTTTCACTTCTTTGACAGTATCTTTTTATTTTTACTTTTTCGTAACAGATGGACACAATACCTCTATTTTATGTATTTCTTTTATTATTCTATTTATTTATTTTATTATTTTATTTATTATTAGGTGCCTAGGATTGAACCCAGTCCCTCACACGTACTAGGCAAGCGCTCTGCCATTGAGCCACAACCCCATCCTTGACAGTATCTAAAGCTTTAAATGTTTTTAATTTTGATGAAGTTCACTTTATTTTTTATTTTTTATCTTTTATTGTTCATGTTTTGGTGTCAATTATAAATATTACTTATTCCAGAGGTTATGAAGATTTACATCTATGGTTTTTTTGGAAGAATTTTATTTTCCATTTACATTTAGGTTGTTATCCATTTTGAGTTAATTTTGACCACCATTCATTCTTGCTTGTTCTAATTAATGTTCCTCACAAATCCAGAAGGATCTCAGAACTTAAAAGCAGGTTGTGTCATTTCCCTTCTTGGTGTCATCACTGGCTTCCCACCTTACAGAGAACAGAATCCAGACTCTGGGCCATCAGGTGGGCTGGGCCCCATGTGATCTGCCGGCTTCCCACCTCATTAGCCAGCCTCATCTTCATCTTGTCTCCGCTCTTTTGGTCACCACAGTGCAGCCATGCTAGAGGCCTCAGTGGCTCTAGCAGGCCAAGTCTTATGCTATCATAGGATTGGCCATTTTTTTTTTCTGCATCCGTTCCCTCTGGTGATCATTGTCCCGTCACTCCTTCGGAGGGCCCTCCCTTGCTGACTCTTCCTCATCTCACTGCACTGCAGGAGACTGATAGTTCTCTTTGCCTTTTGTTGTCTAGAGTTTGTTTTCTGCCTCCTTCCCTGGAAGGTAAGGACTGGTCCCTGTTTATTCAGCCGTATTGGCATAGCTCCCGGCACCGTGCACACTCAGTAAACACTTGTATGGGTAAATAAGTGACATGCTCAGTGTGTTTAAGATCTCTTTCAGTAGATTACAAAGTGAAAGATTAATTGTTTTATTTATGGCATAGTAATTTGGTCTTAATTCTTCCCATAGGACGGAGGATAAGAAATAGAACTTTTCAGTGGTTAGGCTATTTATAGGTAGATATAAATTTTTCAAGGGAAAAATACTGTTTGAAATGATTTGCCAAAATATTTATCTCAGGAATCAGAACTTAAAAAGGAATACTTCAAGATCAGAAGTTACATGATAGTGATTTGTTATGTGTCTTTTAAACCTTTCTTTTCCTATACTGCTGTAACAAAGTTGCCTTGCTTTAAAACAAACAGCTTTACAACCATTATTAAGGTGAGATTTATTGTTATTTTATGTATTTATTTATTAATTTAGGTACCAGGGATTGAATCCAGGGGTGCTTAACCACTGAGCCATATCCTCAATCCTTTTTAATATTTTAATTAGAGAGGGGGTCTTGTTAAATTGCTTAGGTCCCTGCTAACTTGCTGAGGCTGGCTTTGAACTTGCCATCTTCCTGCCTCAGCCTTGTGTGCCACCATTCCCAGCCCTGAGATCTTAATACTTTAATCTTAATCCTTTCAACATAATTGAATAAGATTCTGTGGTAGGATTTTACCATGAAATTAAACATCTTTAAAGTGCATTTAGAGTGGGGAGGAGGAGGGACCGTCGAGCTTTGAGCATTCTGCTGTGGGTAGTTCTTACCTTAACAGCTGAGATCTGGTCGAAGTTACCTTGAAGTCAAGTTGGGAACATTGGCTAGTTGTGGGAGAATAGCATTTCATGAATAGTTTGGGAAGAACATATGAAGGAATGTCCTTTTCCTGTGCTCTATTTTGAAGGCCTAGCTCATTTTGTAAATTCATTCAGTATTTTCCCTTTTCTGAGGCCCCCTAAGCAGCATTTCCTGCATTTTATTAAAGTGATCTCCTGATGAAAAATGATGTACATGCTTTTAATTATATATAAATGGCACACCTGAATTGCCTTGTTCGAAACCCTCAAGGTTGCCATTATTGACAATTGCTGCTCTTTAAAGTAGAATCTTATTTACTTCATTTGTGCATGTCCCCCAAGGTCAGCCAGTTCCTTGGATTCATTAGGAGCAGTGTCAATGTTCTTATGTTACATGTAGAAGAGACAGTAAATTTGAAACAAAACCAGCTCAAAGATTTGGACCTTATTAAATAAATCAAAAGAAACTAACAAAAAATGAATTGTTGGAATTCACATGGGGGAGAGGGTGGTCCTGGAGAGTAGAGTGGGCAGTTGGGACCCAGATGGAGAAGTAGTGCCACCTCTTGTAGATGTGGTTCTTGACAGCCTGTGTAATGGCTGCCCCCTTGTTTTTCTATTTGGGTCAACAAATTTTAGAACATTTTATGACTATTTAAAGATTGTCACTATTGGCCACTCTAGGGAAGTTAAAAGTGTTTCTGAGCTAGGTGGCTATGTGTTTCATAGCTGGTTTTGATCTGTCTTTTCTAAGTTGACCAGCTGGATTACTGATAGGTATTTGTCCCACTCTCAGACAGACTGGTAATTTCGTAGCTTGCCTTTGGTTAATTGTATGTGCTGCAGTATACTTTGGTTAAGTCTCACCCATATTTAAAGGGCTATTGATTTTAGCTCTTCAGCAGTGTGAGATTTTTGTACTAGATGTTCTTGGACTTTTAAGGTAATACTATGTTCAGTTATCCTGGCTTTGTATTTCTTAAGTTTGAATCATCCCACGATTTGAAAAGAATCAGTGATCAAAGAGTTAGTGCTCTGTTATTATCTTTGAAGTCCGTGACGGCACATGTAAACCTCTTTATGCCCTTGGAATCTCAGTTGAACTGTCATATGTAATAGTACATTAGTTTTTCTTTTCCTGAGTTAATGTGCCAGACAGAATAGGTGAAAGCCCCAAGCTGTGCACCTGTTTGAAGTACCTTGAGCCTGAAATCTAAGGGCTCCAAGGAGGGTTGTCTGCACTGCCTCTTCTGTTGGCGCTTAGCTCTCTGGCTGGTGTGTTTCTCGCCATTTACCTTGCTTAACCTCCAAAATTCAACAGAAGAATAGCTCTGGCCGGCTGCTTAATTTTATTATAGGCCAGAAGTCCTTGCTGGATGCCAGGTCTTCTGAGTTTATTCTTTTAGTTGAAGAAACTAAGTTTTATTTCAAAGTTCTCAGAGAAACAGCTATGTGGAAATATGTGTTTATAGTGCTTGAAAGTTGGAGGATATAGTTTTGATTTATAGATATTTAGCCTCTTACATGCTGATTATCTGAAGTGATGAAATACCTCACATTGTTATTGGATGATTTAAATGAGTAAAGGTGTGATTTGCTTCATGGCAAATCATAGTTAAAATTGTTGACTACCATTATTTGTGCTCTCATTGTACTGCACAGTGTGCTGAGTCCATTACAGATACTGTCTGATTGAACCTTCTCAGCACCTGCACAGTAGGTAATGTGAACCCCACTAATTCGTGAGAAATTCAGAGAAGCCAGTAATAGCCCAGGTCATCTTGGAGCTTCTCAGCGATGTCAAGATTTGAGTCTAGTATGTGTGAAAACCTTTTGTGGTGAAGCTCCTGAAAACCTTTTGTGGTGAAGCTCCTCTCCTTATAGAAGGCTCCAGTCAAAACAAATGATCATTTTGTTTGCATTTCTTTGAAGACTGGTAACTGATTTTTCCATTTGTTAATAGCATTTTCTAGGCAAGTGCTCCATCACCAAGCTACACCCCCAGCTACTTGGAGGAGGGAGGGAGGGAGGGAGGGAGGGAGAGAGAGAGAGAGAGAGAGAGAGAGCGCGCGTGCGCGCACACACGTTGGGGGCATGCATGGACTTGCGATGCTGGGTATCAACCCAGGCCTTGCACCGGCAAGTGCTGTGTGCTGAGCTGTATGCCCAGCCCTGTGGGCAGTGTTTGCTGTTGGTAATATGTTGGTGGATATCCTTTGTCTGTCTTTGGGGACTGCTCCTGACTGTGAGGAAGTTGCATAAGCTTGGTGGGTGCTAGTCATGTATGCAGCCCTTTTCATATTACAGGCAGCAAGTGACAGCCACCTGTGAAGCCTATAGGATTTTATAATTGGTTATGTTTGAATTTCTCATTTTCTGTGTGATCTTTCCCATTGTCACTATTTGACAGGCCTTTTCTATAAAACATATTAGACTTTTATTTAGGGATATTCTCTTATTCTGGGGCTTTTTGTGGTTCAGGAACTAGCATAATATAGTTTTACTACATGAGAATTTTGTGTTGTAGTAATGTGTAGCTAGGGCAGCTTGGTTAACTCTCAGATTTCATACCAGGAGAATAATTAAAAAACTCCAAGAAAGAATTCCTTCTATTTAAAAATTTAAAAACAACAGAATCCCTTTATATAGTTTAACTTTCTCAATCATTTTGTTACTTTTTATGTTAATTTTCTACCTGATTAATCTACAGTAATGATCACATTTAATAAAAGTATTTTTTGATACAAAAAAGTTAATGACTGAGTGAAAATACATACAATCTCAATCTCTCTCTCCTTACAGCAAAGTTCCCACCTTCGTGAGGATGATTGCTCCTGAGGGCTCCTTGGTGTTTCACGAGAAAGCCTGGAACGCCTACCCCTACTGCAGGACAAGTAAGCCTCGTCCCCAGCAGCACTTCACCCCTCTGCGCTGAGGAGGAGGAGCAAGGACTCCCAGTGCCCGGGTGTCTGAGAAGGGTTGTTTGAGTGATGGCAGGAGAGTGGCTACATTGGGTTCATCTCCCAGACCTTGTGAAGGGCATGGGGTTTACTCCCAGATGACAGTCACACTGATGTCCTTGCTGACTGTGCTGGCTCTAGGGTGAGCAGATGCATACTTTGAGATCCTAAAGAAAGCTCACCCACACTCAGAAGTTCTGTTTGGTGGACTTTCAACAGTAGTTTACGTACGTTGCTACATGACAGGAGAGGGAGATGACAGACTTCTGAAACGTCTGCTGTCATTTGCTAAATTAATTCTATAGTGTTTTTCTCTTGTGACATTATTCTTTTAAGCTTTATTTTATTTCTTCAAAATTTATCTTAGTTGTCAATGGATCTTTATTTTATTTATTTATATGTGGTGGTAAGAATCGAATCCAGTGCTGGGCAAGTGCTCTACCCCTGAGCCCCAGCCCCAGCATTATTTTAAAGTTACATTAGTCTCAATATTTTATTTGGACCTCATAATCTAAGGTATCCTATGGTGTCACTTGTGTACAAACTGTATTTTGAAAACATAAGCTACTAAATGTTCTGTGTTTTCAGGTAGTTTAGTCTTTGTGGCATAAAATATTGGGACAGATTGTTTTGACTCGAATTAATATTCTGAAATTTTTCCTGTTTCATTGCCTGCCTCCATTGTGCCTCAGTTGTAACGGTGAGTAAAACTTTGTGTTCCATTCTCTTATCTTTATTTAGTCCATATTGTAATTTTTAATTTTTTGGTAATTATCTTGTTTTTGTTTTTAAACTAAAACTACCCATTGCTTCATGGCTCCCTCCCCCCAAGTCCTGCTCCACCATATGTCCCCGGGGCTAATGGGCTCTTTCCAGTCTTCTCTCCAGATCTCCCTTTTGATTTCATTTTGCTTTTGCTGCCTCCTTTTAGTGCCAGATTTACTGACCAAACCTCATAGCTGCGTTTACTATATTATTATGTTAGCCCTATAAGCTACGTGACAAGTAGGACTGTTTACATTATTTAGAAGCATGCAGCATTTAGTTTGCTTGACAAGTCTGTAAAGATCAGTAGCTAATGATCGTTAGTCACTTGAGGTAGGTCTCTTGGTAGAGTCAAAGCATGGCATGGTGCTGGTGCTGGTGCTGGAAAAGGCTCCTGTGTACACAAGCCCCGGAGAACTGGTGAAACATCATGTCATGTTCCTCTTGTGTTTTCTACAGAATGAATATATGAAAGATGATTTCTTCATTAAAATTGAGACATGGCACAAACCAGACTTGGGAACATCAGACAACGTAAGTTGTGAGGGCTGGGAGGAGGGTAGCCTGAGACAGGCATTATCACCCCATGTACATGGATGGCCACACTGCTGGAGTGACTGCACCCTGTGCAACAGGAGGAAGGAGAAGCTGTGCTCCATTTGTGTATACTCCACTGTCACCTAGGGCCAACTAGAACAAATAGTTCTAGGTAAAAGAAAAAAAAGAAAAAACATTAAGTTGCTGCTCCTCACTTTCAGCGCAGAAACCCTTGGAAAGGGAATTACTGTGTCTAGTGTATTCTGTCGTCAACAAAGTGAAGTTACCTGCATCAGACTAGCCGCTGGCCACATCAGACGGTGTCAAATTTAGGTGAGGCAAGCAAGCAGCCAGAAACGGGGGGCTTTCCTTGTCAGTCTCTTGCCATGACACTCTCTGGAACCGGGAGAGAGTGGATCATCAAAGTTCACTGATAATCCCCCAACCCAGTTTTAACCGTTAGTGTACAATGCCTTCATCTCTGTGTACTTGCCAGAGTTGCTCTAGCATAACGGAATGATTGCTTTCATTTTTACCTCCTACCCACTTTACTGGAGTATGGGTTGGTTGATGTCAGAGAAATGACCAGAAGTCAGGAGGGAGAAGTTTCTTTGAATAATTTACAAAAATGTGGGCAAGCTTCAAGAATCAGCTAGGACGGGACTTATGGTACATGCCTGTAATCCCAGCGGCTTAGGAGGCTAGGGCAGGAGTTCAAAGCCAGCCTCAGCAACTTAGCAAGGAGCTAAGCAACTTCAGTGAGACCCTGCCTCTAAATAAAATACAAAATAGGGCTGGGGGTGTGTGGCTCAGTGGTCGAGTGCCCCGAGTTCAATCTCCAGCACCAAAAAAAAAAAAAAAAAAAGAACATCATCTTGGACTCACAGACATGATTCTTAAGGCTTGTTGGGAAATGTGAAAAGGGCATCTGGCATCCTTGGTGGATGCACTGGCAATGTGTGGTCCCTGGGCCAGCAGCAGCATCTGGGAACTCATTAGGAATGCAGACTCAGTCCCCACCCAGAGCTCCTGGATCCCAAGCTCTAGAGTGGGATCCAGGAGTCGTTTTTTTGATGTACACCCCAGTTTGAGAACTACCATTCCAATCATAGGATATACTGTTGGTGGTAACGATTGTGGTAAATTCTATTCTTATTGTTCTAGGATTGTGCTCTTTTGTAATTGATGCCTTCTAATAGAACTTTTGAATTTTAATTTGTAGTACTTTAGTTTTCTTTCAAGTGATCATTTGACATTTCATGGGTTTTCATAGTAATTCTCTAAAATTTAGGGTTTGGATGAGATAGTTTGGTGTGTTTTAATTCATGTGTGGGTTAGTTAGTCTGCCATTTTCAGCTCTCAAGTGGGTGTATCTGTTGGCAGTTCTTAAACAATGCTTAATTGGTTCATGAAGTTTCAGAAATAAAAGACCAGTAATAAAGCATAGAGGAGTCAACATCATACTGAAAATGAACCGCTTTGGGTATAGCAAATTCAGGAGAGGTTTTGGAGTGTACAGTGCAGCCTGGAGCCTGATTCTGAGACTCCTTGTATTAGCACATGACCTACAGCTTTGAAGACTTTGTTGTTTTAACACAGGTCAGATGAGAACTACCACCAGGTGACATTGACAGATTTCTTTCATGTGTCAGTGTCCCCCCTTATTTGGGGGTGCTTAAGGCTGTAATAATTCCTAGATCCCTCGAGATCAGATAGCTAATATGATAGGTAATTTGCATTTTTTTCATTCCCCGTAATGTATTCTAAGATTCATGATGGAGATTATACATGTAAGTGTGATAGTTTTACCTAACAAGAATAATCTAGATTTTTGTTGTTTCATTTCTCTTTGTTGTTTATAGGTACACAGTTTGGATCCAAACACATGGAAAACTGTCGAAATTGTCCACATAGATATTGCAGATCGAAGTCAAGTTGAACCAGCAGTAAGTAAAATGCCACTTGATGACATTTTAATGTATCCCCATTTACATGTAAAAGTGGTTTTCTTTCTTTCCTTTATGACCTGTATTTGCACACTGAAATAAGCCTGGAGCTCAGCCTCAGCAAAGAGATTCAGAGTGAGAGAAGGCAACTTGTTTCTGTGTGTATCTTGCCTCTGTGCAAGTGATCCATTTTAAGAAATTACAGTATAGCTGGTGTACACAGGTGTGTGTTTTTATTGAAAAAACATTGTTTACAGAAGTGTTCTCTCTGGAGTTTTTTTTATTTTTTATTTGTTCTGATCAGTTATACATGACAGCAGAGTGCTCTTCGATTCATTGTACACAAATGGTGCACAATTTTTCACTTATCTGATTGTGCACAAAGTAGAATCACACTATCGTGCATTCATACATGTACCTAGGGTAATGGTGTCCATCTCATCCCACCGTCTTTCCTTCTCCCAGGCCCCTTCCCCACCCTCCCTTTGAGTTTCTTTAACATGAGTCCTTCATACATTTCAAGTGTGATTAAGAAGGCAAAAATGTAACTTACATGTAAGTTTTTAGTAATTGAGCTAAAGCTAAAGTTAATATTTGTGGAAAATGTTTTTTATGTGCAATAGCTTAATTTAATACTTGTTTAGCTTTCTGTTTTGATTATCATAAATGTGATTGTTGGTTCTTTAGGCTTTGACTTAAGTTTTTGCCATTAAAAACACTCCCCATGCCAAATTAAGACCCTCATATTTTATTGCTGAGGTTTTGTGAATATTAAGTCCGATATATCTTATTTTGTAGCATGCCAAGTGCCAGGTGGATTTGCAGGGCACATTTAAGATTTTTTGCATATGGAGACAACCAGTGAGCCCCTCACTGCTGGTCCAGAGAGCCAGAGCTGTGGGGAAGCAGCAGCCCTGGTTTGTCATGGCCAAGCACAATAGGTTCAGCCAGCATCACCTTCCTTTTCTATTTTTGTGTTTATTCTCTGAACCTGAGTAGTGTTGTCATCTGAACAGAAATAAACCAAACGAATGTCTGGTTTTGCTGTTGAAATTTAATGGTAAACTTAAAGGTCTCTGACCTTTTCTCAGAAATCACTGGAGCTGACAGCAGTGACCCTGTGCCTGTCTGGTACCTACACTGCTAGAGCCACTTCTCTACTTAGAAGAGCAGATATGAGAAGGAACCTTCTTTAATTTTAGTGGTACTGTGATTTGAAGTTACTTCAATTTTAAGGTTGTTTCTACCTTTGAAGTTATATACGGAGGTTTTTTCTAAACCTTAGAAGTGAGGGTCATTCAAATGAGGTGTCTGTTTTACAGTCTTTGTCTTTTATTTCTCTCAGTATCTTTTCCAGCCATGATTTACTTTATGTGACGGAGTGCTGAGGGGAAGAACAGTAACTGGGGGTAATGAAAGAGTGAGTCAATCGGCTGACCCAGAGTTGGTTACAAGAACTGTGTGGCATCTCGGGACGGTGGGGTACGCTGGAAGAGGCATTCAGAGGTAGTGGCCAGTCAGAATGGCTGCACTGAGCTGATCCTGGGGCTTGCAGGTGTGCAGACCCTGCTGTTCACCAGCAGAGTGAGGGCGCCTCTTTGGTTTTGCTGGGAGCATAAAAGCAGTTCTTTGTTCTTGTTCTCAGGCAAGATGGCTGGTGGGTGGAGTGACTGGAGTAAGGCAGGTTGTGTAGAGCCCGGAGGCTCTGGGGCTCTTCCTTCCCTCCCAGGGTGCCCTCTGGAATGGAGCGAAGGCTCTGCTGGCCTGGAGAACACCCAGGGACAGCGCTCGAGAGGGTGCTCTTGTGGAAGTTTTGTACACGCAGAGGCTGCAGATGACTCTGTGAGTGGTGTGTGGCCTGTGCCTGTAAGTCGGTGGACATGCACTAAGACATTCTGAAATGAGATTGCCCTCAACCTGAGGTTCTGAGACTCCACCATTTTATATTGGGCAGGTTGCGTGACCTCATTGTGCTTTCATTACCTCGTGTGAGGTAAAGGCTTATCACCCTACAGGGTCACACGTGAGCATGTGAGCAGTGCAGTTCACCAGGCCCTTGTCACTGCTGTCCTTAGTAACTGGAGTGGTGGAGGGGTTCCGAGAGCCTGCATCCATCAGCCTCGGGTGGGAGTCTGCACGCACCTATTTGTGTGTGGTTTTATTTTCCAGTGTTCACAGATCATGTTTTCCAAGTTGCATTTTAAAAATGAGTAGATGCAGCCAGGCATGGTGGCGTATGCCTGTCATCCCAGCAGCTTGGGAGGCTGAGGCAGAAAGATCTCAAGTTCAAAGCCAGCCTCATCAACGGCAAGGCCCTAAGCAGCTCAGTGAGACCCTGTCTCTAAATAATACACAAAATAGGGCTGGTGATGGGGCTCAGTGGTTGAGGGCCCCTGAGATCAATCCCCGGTACCACCCCCCTTAAAAAAAAAGAGTAGATGCAAATTTATTTTAAACTGTATTGAATTTGCAGAAGTTTTTTTTTTTTTTTTTTTTTAAATCGGGATAGAATTCACATAACATAAAATTTACCACTTTAGAATGTGCAGTGGTTCTGTAATAGTGTATGCAGCGTGCTCAGCCGTCCATGCTCTCCAGTCCAGGGGTCTTTTGGTCACCCCAGAAGGACAGCCCGTACCCTAGCACTTCCCGTGGCTGCCCACCCCAACCTTTGGCAACTACAGATCACTAAAGTCTCTTGGGATCTTCCTGTTCTGGGTATTCCGTGTCGATGAGTGGCCTGCTGCGTGGTGTTGTTAAGATCAGTTCACATTGTAGCGGTGTCAGGTATTTCTTTCATTCTGTTTGCACTCATCCGTCCGCGATCGTCTTGGCTGTGTCTGACTCTCAGCTGGTGTGAACACTGGGTCACAGCTTTTTCATCAGTGCACTTTCTCAGTTGTGCATAATTCAAGAAAGACTGGTGTGTAGGAATTGTCAAACCTGACATTTAAAAAAAAAACAAATTTGCACATTTTTCTGCTATAAAAGAGGCCAAGGGGCCTTTGATGGTGGAGGTTTAAGCCTAAAAGTGACCAAAGCAGAGCGTTGCCCTGCCTGACGGGGCGCAGAGGCTGGGTGAGTGACGGGGAGGGGACCGCAGTGAGAGCTGTGGGCAGGGCTCCGCTCTTCCTTCAACACATCCTCGCCTGTCTGCCGTCCCGGCATGGAAAGTTGTCCCCATGCTTGTCTCAGCAGTTTCCTGGCACCCCTGCATTTGTCAGTGTGGGGTGACTGGACTGTGGGGCTGAGGAGGTCCTGCCTGTCCCCTCGACCACTTCAGTCCTGCTTATCTGACACTAGCCTTGACCCTAAAGTTCACTTTGAACGTGCACTTCTGCAGCTTCAGAGCGTGGTTTTGGGGCTCACCTCTTTTGTTTTACAGTGAGGAAGCTGGAGCCCAGGTGAGCTAGTTTTTCTCATGATCACTAGGCTGGTGCCAGAAGTGGGCATTCTGACCATCAGTCCAGTGCTCTGTCCCCTGGCCCTCACTCCTTCCAGGTGAGGCCCCACTTTGTCAGTCACTGTCTTCCTTTCCTCAAACCAGCCTGCCACCGGCGCACTGCCTGTTCTCATCTCCCTTCTGGGACTTCTTATTCTCTGTCCAAAGCCTACGTGTCCTCCAGGATCTAGGTCGGGTCCCACTTTCTCAGAGAGACTTCAGATTCACCCGAGGAGCTTGAGGACGGTGAGGAGACTGACCTGTGAGTTGAGAGCTCACACTGGGATGTGAGGTTAGTTGGTGTCAGCCTGGTGACGTCTGGGTTGGCAAGGGGGCGAGGAGTGGGAAAAGAGGGGAGGAAAGCAGTGTTCCCACTCCTCGCCTAGGGGAGTATAAATTGGTCAAACTGGTCTAGAAGAATTAACACACATACACGTCCTTTGACCGAGCAGAATTCCACTTCTAGGAATTGGCTGTACTTGATGTGGTGTGATAGGTTACAAACCTAAGATGGGAAGGGGGAGGGGGAGGACTGGCAGGTGTATGCAGAGGTCTGGGGAGATGTCCTCGGTGATGGTTTGGGTTTCCTGTTGCTATCTGCACAACACCAGTGGCCAGGCAGTCTAGCCTGATCCAGGAGAATGACTTCCCATCAGCCGTCCCCACAGTCTGTGGTCAGAGACAAGTCGGAGGTTCCCTCTGCGCTTCAGGGAAGGTGGCTCATTTGTGGGCAGGATCACCTCAGACCCCTTCCTGCCAGGCCAGTAGTTAATTTTTAATGCTGAAAACTTGTTCCTTGAGGGTGGGAATGACATTTGAATAGAGAGCTGAGTAGTGAGAATAAGCCAAGTAAGGTGGGAGGTAGGAGGCCCTGCACCCAGTGGGGTGGTCACCTGTGTTACCTTGGGAGGAGGGGAGGTGGACTGGGGATGCAGGTAGGATTCCCTTTCTTCCCAAATTCACTGAGTGCTTGTGTAGAGGACCAGAGTGACTGTGGAGGCCTGCATTGAGTGGGTGCTGGCTTATGGTCACACCCACCCTCCAGATCCCAGCTCAGCTGGGGCGTCCCTCTCCTGCCGGGTACACAGGGCACCCACCTTCACCAGGCACCGGCTTGTCGAGGCCTGTGCTTGGAGGCCTTGGCTGGGTTCCTTCTCTGTTTTTCTCAGCGCTGCTTCTGTGATAGGGAGAGAGCACTTTCCTCTGAGTGGGAGATCACGTAACTAATTAGAATTTGTCCCCCTGGTCTGTGTGCCAGATCTACTTACCTGTGCTGTTGTGAATGCCCAGAAGTTCATCAGAGCAGTGTGTCTGTCTTATCCTACCCAGTTTAAAAGTTGATAAGATTTGACCCTTAGTTCTTCAAATAAATGTATTGGTGATGGTTTGGAAGGTGGGGCGGGGCTGGGGGACAACCTGAGGCTTGCTGCAGGGTGGGGATCTCTCAGAGTTCAGGCTGTGGCACTGTCACTTCTGGGGGGTTTTGTCCTAATTGAGTGATTTTTTTTTTTTTTTTTCTCCTTTCTGTCGAACTGCTCTGGGGTTTTTGAGTGAGCTA